AGAGGAGAACTCTTGGGTAGAAACTTGTAATAGCGGAAGCGTTTTAATGAGGATTGTGAACCGACCTTGCACTGGTGTGTGAGAGCAAAGTAGATTAAATTAAACAAGCAAATACAAGGATTTATATAAGAGTACAGGGAATACGAATAGATAGGTAGATAACTGTATTGCTGTTGCGGTTCGATACAGTGCGACTCGGGCAACTGCTCTGTAACGAGTCAGTTGTGTGTCCTTAACTGTCGCGCTGTGATTGTCGAGTCAAAGGTCAGCGACCTTTGACTTTCTCGTAACCTCCAGGCGGTTACCCTAACCTCCGAGGTTGACTCGATGCTTCGTTTGGGACTGCTTCGCTTGGTGCCTTGGGTTTGATACGACAGAAGCGCACTTAGGACTTATTGTTTCCAACAGTTCTCTCATGCATTCGCTCACATTTTGTACACCCTTATTCTCAGTCTTCTCAACGGCGGAAGCAGTGGCTACAGTGTTTGGACGTAGCGGGCTGGTGAGATAACTCGGCTGCGGGCCAAGTCGCACGAGGCGACGAAACCAGACTTGGGCCGTAAAATTCCGCTAACGATGAATAAATGTTCTAACCGTTTAGAAAACAGTAATAACATTCTAGAGCGTAAAGAGCCTTGACTAAACGCCCTGGGTCAAACTGTCAGTATAACGCATGTGATAGGACCTTCTTTGGTCCGCTGCGGCTACACTAAGCGTCTTGGTCAGTATAACATATGCCAGTCTAACAGAATGAGGGTGTACTCGTTTGACACTCTAGTGCAATCCTCGCAACCTTGATTTATTGCACCTGTAACAAGAAGGGAGGTGGACCCTTTTCAAGATTGTGGTCCTTCGATGCCGAACCGAATGCTAGCTATGGTGAGGGAGCAAGGTTGTGTTTTTTTTTTGTCGTTTGTTTCCCCTGATTTGTTCAACTGGGGAGTGGCTTGGAGCTGAAGGGTGCGCTGTTGTGTGGCTTGGGCTTGGTTGACTCCCGTAACATTGAGAGTTTTGGATCGGATCTTTGTGGACAGACTCCCTCCCTCTCTCCAGTGCAAGCGATTGTGTGAGCTGGAGCGACACGTTGAGGGCTCGACAAGATTTGGTTCGGTATCGACTGGACCCAAAAACAACGGCCATTATCTCCGATACTCAGATTTCGTCTGAGCACGTTCTCGATATAGTGTAAAGTTATTCTGGCTTAGGTATGATGCAGTCACTCAAAAAAAGGAATTCTAGCACTTGCAAAAAAAATATAATGCCCGTAGCGAACCTAAATGATTTCCAGGAAGGATCAATCCTAAATACCGAAAGCCACCCAATATTTTGGAGAACAGATTGCAACCCACTTGACAAAAAAAAATGATACCCACCTCGGAAAGGGATGCGGCTCGGGAGGCATCAACCCTAGAACAACGCCCATTCCCGTGTTTAGGGCTGACCCCTCTCAAAAATGCATCCAGGTTTCGTAGGGGTTTTATTTTTTTCCGCCATGCCCGAATAGGTATCGGTAGTGTCGTCTAGTGCTTTTGGTAGCGTTGTTTAGCGGCCGGTTGCGCTACTGGGCACTACCAAGTGAATTATATGGGCTTCATTATCTTACTACCTTAATTTCCGTACATATATCCAAGTCAGGAGGGTAAACTGAATGATTTGTTTTTGTCACTTCTTAATGAGTTTGACCAGCGTGAGAAATGTGACTAAAAAGCGATGACAAATCAACGTTGAGAAAGTCCAGACTGATAACACCTGAGAACGCGCTCAGGAAAAATCTGAGTATCGGAGATAATGGCCGCAAAAACAACCACGACACACGACACCCATGATCCAGAGTGCCACACTCTTGGGGCTGCATTGCAGTTCGACCTTTCCTACGATCTTTCCTTCCATCGAGCGCCACGAGAGCCGTACGGAATAATTCAGCACTGCCGACATACGTCTAGATCACCAGCCTGGACTATCTGAGATGATCCTTGTTGCCAGGTGGAGAGCGATAAGGACACGCACGCTACGTACGCACGTACATCGCTCCCTCCCACAGAAACTGCCCCGCTGTGAATGGATGCCGCGTTTGCGCGTACGCGTAACTGTACGCGTGAATCACTAAAATCTCAGATGTGATACGATGCCCTCATGTCCCTCGTGACCCCCAAGATGAAACTTTGGATGCCCGCCTCCCAGCCGTCGTCCCGCTGTGGTGCTGAGGTGATTCTGAAATGATACCGTACTGAAAGCCGCTTGAACGCACATCACCAATTTAAAAACCCTTGAGTAGAGCACATCTCTCCGTATTACCAACTTACCACCACTTGATCTGCACCAGATACACAGTGTAGTGTTGTACAGATACCAGCTTTTACAGTTGCAGCAACCAGAGAGTATACTGTATCTCTTTGACTGTTTACTGCAATCGGCCCACAACTGCTGCACTCAGACTTTGACCGTAAGTTGCTGCTGCTGCTCTGTTCCACCACCCCCGCAGATAAAGGATGTGGAATTGAAAGCTCCTTTGTCAATTCGAAGTTTAACTTTCAACCAAGCATCACCACCTAGTATTCTATAGAGCAGGTCGCGTGACGCTGATTATTCTGATTATCACATCGTTTTTATCCCCATGGCGAGAGAAACCACATGGTCGGAGAAACCGAAGGTACCACCCCCCTCGGAACTTCAGGGCCTTTCACTCGCGGAGCGACGAAACCGACTCATTCCGTACCTCACCCGGTCACCAAACAGGCCGTCGGGCGAAGCGCGGCTCCCAAATACTTCGTTTCACTGGTCGTCTCCCAAGAATAATTCCCTTACCACGAATCTCGCCGCTAACATCGCTGCCAACTGTCCCGGTGCTTCGTTACGGCAATTCGCTTCACCGGCGAGTAGCAGGCCCAGCGGCAGGCCGCGTCGCGAGCTGCATTCGTGGGACCGAGCTTTCCGCTTCACTCCGACTCCCAGTCCTCATCAGCATGCGCGCGCGGCGAGCCCCTGGAGCAATAATACATTGGGAATTGCGCGCCGCGAGAAGCAGACGCTTCGAAGGTCAGCTAGCCTGCCGTCTACAACAACTACCGCCTTTCCCGGAGAGTCTAGTACGTCCCATTCGGACGTTGGAATGTCGGTGCCGCTCACAGCCAGCCTGTCGCCATTGTCGCGCGGTAACCTGGTCACAGATCATCCCACGGCTGTGACTGCGAAACAAGCTCCAGTTACAAGGGCGAAGGATACCGAACCGGCGAAAGTGGGACGCTCGTTTACTGACTCCGTCGTCGATGTCATGTTTGCGAAAGACGCGAAAGTAGGAACACCTTTCGTAAAAACTAGCAATGAGGGTGTGCAGATGGGCTGCAGTGCTCCGCGCCAATCAACGATGGAAACGGCGTCCGCTCGGAACGCAAATTTCTCGTCGCCGCATCATCGTCGAAGCCGCAGCGCGCACATGATAGGGACGGACGAGACGGCTGTGCTTTGGCCGCAAGCAATGGTGAAGATACTTTGCCGAGGGAAATCCCCCGTACGTGGCTCGACGTTCTGTGGCGGCGTATGCGTCGTCAGCATATATGGCGACGTCTCGTCGCCAGCAGCGCCGGTGCAAGCAGCAACGCGACCTATCGTCAAGTCCCCTACACCAGTCATTAACCAGCGCCGACCGACCTATCCCCAAGCCGCCACGGGAACCGTTCCCGCTTCGCCGACCCGTCGAATGATAGGGTGTGAGGTTGAGACATCAGGGAGTCCAAGCAGGAACGTAGGCCAAGTAACATCATTATCGAAATCGGGTTATACAGACGGACGTGCAACAAGAGTTGACGGTGCAGGTATGTGTGAAGCTGTTACTAGCGGGGATAGCCTGAGGAGCGAGGCACTGATGTCGTGGGCAGTTCAGCAGAGGCTGGTGTGGAGGCGTGCTCAGCAAAGTATTTCATCCTAGACAGATATGCTACACCTACATGAGGTTTCCATGTTGCAAATGTAGTTGGAAAGGTTATTAGATGCTCTTGACAGAAGGCGAATGAAATACGGTGATCATGCTTTCATAATTTATGATTGCATATGCTTTAACACTGTTTACTCAAAACCCATTTTGGGGCGTAGCTGAGAGCAATGAACATTTTAAAAGCCTTTGCTATGGCTACTCTTGTAAGGAAATATTTTCCATCTGTATTCTTGTCATACAATATTACTCTGTAACGGGGTTTTCCTCGAGGCTGTGAACCCGCCACGGCGATACTGGCGCGAACCACATGAAACTTTGCCACCAGTCCCCTCCAGTTTTGTCCAAATGATTTTGCTGCTGTCATACCTGCCCACCCTGCCCACAGCGGAGCACAGCCCGAGAGTTGTACTGTACAGTATCACCAGTCGGTGACCCGCCCAGCCGAACGGCGCTACGGACTCAAGTCAAGGCCGACGCGAACCAAACCAAGCAGTCAGTTCGTGCAGAGAAGACCTTTGCTTGCTGCCATAACCAGTCAGGTTCGGCTCGGTCGTCTGGGTCTGATCAGCTTCGGCAGGAGGGATCTTGTCACGCGAATGCGTGCGGTTCAGCGAACTTTGTGGGGGCAGAGATTCCCTGCTTGGCAACTTTCAGGTGCGCTCGATATTGTCATGTCACAAAGGTATCCAGTGCGGTTGAGAACGGGCTCGTACCTTATCCAGGGCTGCCACGAGCTGCCAGGGGACGAGAGACCTAACGCAGTGGAGAAAGGAAACCCTAAAGAGCACGACGGAGGCGAGATAGAGAGCTGACTGTCTGAAGCTGTTCCTTGGCTTACAACTTCCTGGCAGTTGCAGAGTGGGAGACGAGAGAGAGCAAGCAAGGGAGTAGGGGGGGGCATAGGGTTATCGGGAACGACATTCAGAGCAGGGCGTTCCAATCGAAGTTTCAACCAATTGCAAAGACGTTAACGCGAGTCGCAGCTATCAGGAATTCAGGAAACTAATAACCCGCATACTCCCAATAGAATCGTGACCCGTTACACTGTTATCGGAAATACTTTGAAGTTATGTCACGTCGGAGCCAGAACCCGTCCATTCGTGGACGGCTCCTCCTAGCTCTCGCCGCGTTGTTCCTCTCCGCCGTCCTTCTCAGCTCCTTGTTCCGCGTAGCAGACGCAGCTTCGCGGGAGCTTCTGGCGGCCGACGAGGCAGTGGACCCGGATGGCGTCACAGGATGCCATCGTGGCGATGGCGTGTGGGCGCGCTGCGTCCCTCTCACGGCGGGGGAAGTCAGAGAGATGTTCCGACCGGGTATGCCTATTAGAATTCGGTATCATTCTTAAGTACGACTCAAAGAAGCGAAACGACGGGTATACTATCGTGGCTTTGCGACGAGAATAGGTCGTGGATTGATTCGACTCTGTTCAAGACGCACGACTGCGTCTGGCTGTTCTGCGACATGGTCACGTCGGAACGAGGTGACTTTTGAGTCGACCCAAAAGTCACCTCGTTACAATGGCACTCGACGCACGACTGCGTCTGGCCGTTCTGCGAGTCGTATCCTACTCGAGAAGTGATGCCGAAATTCGGTACCACGTCTGATGAGGGTCAGTCCCAGATAGATATGACTCTTGACTTTCGGTATCACTTCTCGAGTAGGACACAACTCGTTAGTTGGAAACGAGCGATGTTCCAGTAGGTTGTGTGAGTCACTCAACGCTCGACGGTATATGCACAGTCTGTTCTCTAGTAGCTTGCACTTTTTTTTGTGCAGTATGCCTTTTCGGAAAGAAATAGATTGAGCCGAATCAACCGACGGCGTCGACTGTGCTAGATGCGTGAATTGGGCGCTTGCGATATCGGAACAATGCTCTGTTTCGGTGGGGTTATTCCGTCACGAAGTAGTTGAGTGTTTGTAGACGACGACAATTTTTCCGTCAATAGGTGTCCCGTGCGTGATAGACAGCGCAAATACGTTCACCCTGATCGCGGGTCAACGCTTTCAGGAAGCCGTGGCGTGTAGTATACCAATATTGGGTCGACTTAAAAAGCGACGTATCACACACGTAGTATACCATCTAATGTCCATGATTCCCGTAGTCGCCGTATATGCCGGAGGTCTGTTGAGAATAATCAGTCGCCCGACAGAATGATTATCTGTGTCGATATATCCTTCTAATGATATGATTTCGAATATAATTCCTATTGGAATTATGATGCGCTCCTGTCCGATAACATTCGACGACCTCATAAATCGACCTTCTCGTAATATCGTTCTCATTAGCGACTTCATTCCCGTTTGATATCATACGACGGCCGTCTAGGAATTGCCTCACCCTCATGGTGTCCGCTTGACTCTTACCACGCCTTCAGAAAAAACAAAACGTTTCGAAGACACTCGTATATGGGTTTTGACTCGCCTCACCCTAAATACTCGCAAATTCTCTGACGGAACCCCGTTGTGTTCTGCTCAACCTCACCGCGTCTCTTGTAGTACAAACGATCCCGTCACGACCACGACCGTTGATGTCCGAACCCCCCTTTCCCTTGTTCCGTTTTCTGGCGCATTTTCCGCCATCCCATGTCGCAGTCACCATTCGTTCACAATGTTTGGTTCCCTTTTCTGCTCTGTTTGCTGTCTGGTTGTTTCAGGGACAGACCTTGGTGGCGTGACGACTCTGGTGGATGCCGATGATCAGGTTCGCATTCTCTCTCCGCATTCTCTCGCCTTCTCTCGCATTTTCTCGCCTTCACTCGTCCTCTCTCCGATTCTCTCTCCTCCGCATTCTCTAACCTTCTCTCACCGTCTCCGCATCTCTGACTTCCTTCGGCGATTCTCCTCTCACCGTTCTTATTTCTCTCCCTTCTCGTTCCGCCACCCGCGTTCCGCCTTATATCTGCTCTTTTTTGAGTCCGAAAGTAATTTATTGTGTCCGGTCGGTACTCGTCCCCTCCTCCACTACCCGTCATCCACGTGTGCTGCTGCAGGATGTTGCCGCCAACGCAGACCACTCCCGAAAGCTTGCTGAGGTGGAACTCCCCGATGCTGACGTGGATGAGAGCGTCTCTGACGTGGAAATCGTGGAGGAGGTTGTTGCCATCAGCAGCGATGACGTGGACGCCGTGCTGGAAGATAGCATCGGCCTGGATGACGTGGCCGAGCAGAGCGTCCAGCCTGCTGACGTCACGGTATATGACGTGGCACTGATGGTTAACGAGCAGCAGGGGAAGATGGAGGAGGAGGCGGAGCAAGGGCAAGGGTATTTAAGGATGGCCGCCGCGGACAGCGCTGCTAACGCTGAGAGTGCTGCTGTTAGCGCGAGTAGCGGTGCTGATGGGGAGGGATCCGCGGACTCCCCGCGGCGACGCGTGCTGAGGGAGCTGGGGTACGGGTACTGGTTCGCCGTTGATAACCAGCTGCTGGACGAAGAGGGGCGCGTGGTGAGTGCGTGGTGTTGCGCATGTGATTGTATAGGTTACGGGAAATGTGCTTATATGGGGTATGGGGCTTGGGGCATGCAACAGCATGGTGTGCTGCGGGGGCTGGGGTACGGGTACTGGCTCCCCGTGGATAACCAGCTGCTGGACGAGGAGGGGCGCGTGGTGAGTGATGGTTATGCGCGGTATTCGCTTTTTAGGGTATGGGACATGAGGCAGAGCTGCCACGTCCCGTGTTCCTTCCCTTCCAAGTCCTCTCACTTTCCCCATCTCTCGTCATCACCTCACCTCCCTCCTCATCCCACCTCCCCTGCAGATTAAATTCTCTGGAGTGACGTGGAATGGCTTTGACACGGAGAACTGTGTGGTGGACGGCATAGCGGGCGGCAGCGGCTCGTCCTATTCGGACCACCTGGATAAGATCCAGGGCGCGGGGTTCAACGTGGTGCGGCTGCCCTTCTCCACGGAGTGCCTCATGTACAACGAGAGGACGCCCGCACGGGAGGCAATCGATTTTGAGCTCAACCCGGATCTCAAGGTGAGCTGGACTGACGTTGTGGTAGTCCTTCCATCCACAGGGAGGTTTCTAATGGGGTTGCTAGTGGGGAGGGGAGTTCAACGTGGTGCGCCTGGCTGCCCTTCTCCACGGAGTGCCTCATGTACAACGAGAGGACGCCTGCACGCGAAGCCATTGACTTCGATCTCAATCCCGACCTCAAGGTGAGCCTGAGAAGGTGCCTGGTGGTGTTTCAACCTGGGTGTGTGTTTCAACCTGGGTGTGTGTTTCAACCTGGGTGTGTGTTTCAACCTGGGTGTGTGTTTCAACCTGGGTGTGTGTTTCAACCTGGGTGTGTGTTTCAACCTGGGTGTGTGTTTCAACCTGGGTGTGTGTTTCAACCTGGGTGTGTGGTTCAACCTGGGTGTGTGTTTCAACCTGGGCGGGGTTCAACGTGGTGCGTCTGTCTGCCCTTCTTCTCGGAGTGCCTCATGTATGATGAGGGGACGCCAGTACGCAAAGCAATTGACTTTGACCTCCCTTTCCTCCATCCCCTGGTCCACCCCTCCCCCTGCTTCTCTCCCTGCAAAATCTGACTGTGATTCAAGCGTTAGACCGCCGGCCGAGGGTCATTCTCCCGTTGAGCCCACGCTGCCCTCCCTCCTTCCCACTCTCCCTCCGTTCCTTCCGCCCTCCCCCCTGCAGAACATGACTGTGATTCAAGCCATCGATGCTATAGTGAAGGCGTGTCGCGACCGTGGGCTGAGGGTCATTCTCGCCAACACGCGCATCGGCCCCGCCCTGCCGCCCCTCTTTGAGGACGACCTGGGCGTGTGGTGGGACGCAGGGCACTCGGAGGCCGTGTGGATCGGCAACTGGCTCAAGCTGGCGCAGCGATACATCGGGGAGAGGGCGGTTGTTGGGGTGAGTGTTGGTTGGGGTGTGCGTGCGTTGGTGTGGTGTGGTGTGGGTCCCTCTCTCTTGCTGTCTCTCCCTCCTGCTCCCTCCACTCCTTCGCTCGCCCCTCTCTTATTCTCCTCCCCCTATCTCCACACCGCCACCGATTCACAACCACCCGTCGCACCCCTCTCTCGTCGCCTTACTGCCTACTCCACATATATTAGGCATCAATGGCTTGAATCCTTCATTCTCCCCCCCCTTTCTCTCCCTCCTACCAGGTCGATCTATACAACGAGATTCACAACCACCCGTCGCATCCCGACATCATATGGGCGGGGGACAACGTGGGCGAGCCGTACAACTGGCGCACTGCTGCCAAAAGGTGCGTTTGTGTGGGGTGCAAAACAGTACAAAAGGGTACAAAAGGGTGCTGATGGTGCTGGCAATGCTGGGATGAGTCGTGGATGGGGGACAACGTGCGCGAGCCGTACAACTGGCGCACCGCACCGCTGCTAAGAGGTGCGGAGGGGGGAGAGAGAGGGCAGGTTAGATGAAGGGTGGTGCAGGGTGGTGTAGGTTGCTGTAGGGGGAATGGTGGGCAGGGGACAACGTGGCTGAGCCGTACAACTGGCGCACTGCTGCTAAGAGGTGAGGGAGGGGAGGAAAAGGTGAATGTAAGGGGTGAAACTGGCTGGTGTTGCTGCCTTGTCCTCTATACGCCTCTCCTCTCTTACCTTATCCTGCCCCCGTTCTGCTCTCTCCGCTCTGGCTCCTTGCAGGGCTGCGGACGCCATTCAGTTGGTGAACCCCCATCTGGTAATCATCGTGCAAGGGCTCTTGGGCTCTTTCCCATCCTTCCCTACCTGACCACCACTGCCCCGTATTTCTCTCCTCTCCGCTCTGTGTCCTTGCAGGGCCGCGGACGCCATTCAGTCTGTCAACCCCGACCTGCTGATCATCGCACAAAGGCTGCATGCTTCTCTCTCATTCCTCCCCTCTCTCTCGCTGCCTCTTACGCCTCCCCTCTCTCCCCATATCAGGGCTGCGGACGCCATTCAGTCGGTCAACCCCGACCTGCTGATCATTGTGCAAGGGCTGGGCACGCAGTACACATGGCGGGGGGCGGACCAGAGGGGGGTCATGGCACACCCGCTCAAGCTCAAGGTGAGAGAGGAAGGGATATGTGAGTACAGAGGTCGGATGAGAGTGGTTGTAAGAGGTGCGTCTCAGTCCCCACGGTCCGACCTGCTGATCATCGTGGAAGGGCTGGGCACGCAGTACACGTGGAGGGGGGCGGACCAGAGGGGCGTCATGGCGCACCCATTGAAGCTCAAGGTATGTGTGATGGTGTGAAGGTCTATGCACGATTGGTGAAATACAAGCTGGCCTCTGCAGTCAATGGTTCTGGCCCGTTTGTCGACGCAAAGAATCCCTGCTTCTCCCTTCAAAACCTCACCTCCTCCCTTGTTTTCCGTCATTCTCTTCTCACCCGCCCAGGTGAAATACAAGCTCTCGCCTACGCGGTCAACAACTTTGGCCCGTTTGTCGACCCCAAGAAGCTCTGGTTGGTTCAAGGACCCCAACTTCCCCTCCTCTTTTATCTCCTTGCCTGTATCCCTCCCTGTCTGCCTTCCCATCCGCAGGTCAAGTACAAGCTAGCCTATGCAGTCAACGATTTCGGCCCATTCGTGGACCCCAAGAAGCCCTGGTTCAAGGTCCCCAACTTACCATCATGTCACTGTTTTCTGCCTTTCTGTCTCTCCCTTCTCCCCTCCCCTCCCCCCCCCCCCCCCCCCCCCTGCAGGTCAAGTACAAGCTGGCCTACGCAGTCAACGATTTCGGCCCATTTGTGGACCCCAAGAAGCCCTGGTTCAAGGACCCCAACTTCCCAGAAAACCTCGAGGGATACTGGGACACTGCGTTTGGTTTCATCCCCCAGAAGAACTTCACCCCCCTTATAGTCACGCAGTGGGGCAGCCGGTTCCCCTCAGTTGAAAACACGTCCACGGATTTCCAGGAGATGCAGTATTTGGAGAAGTTTCAGCGGTATATCCGGTCGAGGAGTGCGGGGTGGGTGTGGCTCACGTGGGGGCCAACGAACAAGCAAGTGGGCGGGCTTTTAGCTAAGAGCTGGAAGAAGATGGAGCAGCCGAAGATGTCGTTTCTGCAGCCGATTATGCATCCCGGGTTCGGGCCGGCCAATGGGGAGCAGCCGTGGACGGCGCCAGATCATGATAAGCTGGTGGTGTTTTCTCCAGACACGAACGTGACTGTGATCGGATCGGGAGAAGACCTGAGTCCTAAGCTGCGTAAGTCGGTGTGTTGATGCGATTCTGAATCTGTTCTTGAGTTTCAGAGTGCTGGTGAGTTGGGGACTGTGCATGGGCATAATGATCTGGTGTGTCTGGTTTCACTTCCGCATATGCACTCTCGCTGTTGGCCATTTTAGTCTTATCTTCTCATTTCAAATTTCACTAAACCTTAATCCTTTCTCTGCATTTCCATTGCCATTGTTTGCATGTCTTGCAGAGCGCCCTCAATGGAATGCTGCTGCTCACAGCCCTCATGGCCCAGTGGCTTTCACACTCATGTACTGCCTTGTCCTAGCTTTTATTGTGTCACTTAGTGCATTCTGATTTGACATTGGTAGCGTCTATTTATAGAGTGTGGTTTGCCTTTGTGCTGTTAGGTGACTGTACATGCCTGCTGCTGCTACCCATGGTGTAACACTTGTTAATTAGGAAGAAACTATGTCATTGTTTTGTCTTAGGGTTCTTTGGGTGTAAAGATGAGGAGTTCCAGTAGAGGTTTGAAGTGGTGATGTGAGTAAACCAGACCAGAAATGGATTCTATGACACTCTGAAGCCTTGCTTACGGTACCAATTGATATTTGTTTATTTCATAAACTGTTCCGTACATGCCATCCCCGAGTTGTCCGACGTGTAGCGAGTGATCAAATATGACACGGAACTGACACTCTCCAGACTTGTCCACCACGACAAGCCAGTTTGCCAGGTTACCGTTCCCGGGTCATTGGTGGGAGGTTTTTGGCTTAACAACGATTGGTCACCAAGTGGTGGAAAGTTTTTCCGTTGCACTTTCGCCACAATTGCCACGTCAGTGGTCCCATTGTCCATCAACTTTGGGAGAAGGTGACCGTTCAAATATGCCTCCTCACTTCGTGGCCCTGGAGAAATGGAAACCTAGTTGATGACACTCGCGCACGCACACCCACACAAATCTAGGAAACATGCGGCTCGCCTTGAAAGGGACGCAGTCTAGATTGTGCTGGGCGTTGCCTCTGCTTGTGAGTGGACGGAGAGCGTGCCTCCAGGCGGAGTGGATAACGGTGTGTCAGCACCAGGTCAGCTTTACCGTAGTGAAGGAATTTCTAGCGGACCAAAAAACACGGAGACGTGGCAGGTGGATGCCTTTTCGCCGGCTTTGCTTCCCACCCAGCCGCACCATGAATTTATGGCTCTGACCAGACCAACTGATGCGAGCGACGATGATGACGCCGAGTCGCCTGATCATCCCTATCCAAGCGCTAGTAGGATCCTTCGTCCTCGTCTCCCAGCAAAATCAACGAACGACCCCTTCTAGGATCATGTCAGCACAGCACTATACAACATACTGTTTACACTGCACTTGCGCCCAGATGACAAGGAAAATGCCTGACAGTCATTGTCTGGTCAGCATTTACTATTTCTTTCTGACCAGAGAAGCAGCGAGCTTTGGCTTCGTCTGCTTTCATGGATGCTGGCTGCAGAAGCAATTCTGAACTTCTGATTTCCTTCGCACTTGCCTGATCAAGAGCAATGGCGTGTAGACGTGTCAACTTGTCTCAAAAACATGATTTCTTTTGCGGATAAAAGATTCGGTTTAGAAGCAGGTGATTTTTTTCTGGTCATCATGGCTGATCCTCCTTGCTTTGCTGGTCAGCCTGATCCTGATTGCTGTCGAGCATCAGCCATGCGATTCCAGACTCTGCACCATTTGCTTTCCCTTCTCGCGGCTCGGTTTCGTCAGCCATTGTGCCTACACAGTCACGACAGATCACGGTGACGTGTCGCGCTTTGCAGAGCCTGCAAGGACCGACGTGTAGTGCTGCGTAGCTCCTCCATGAAGTTATGGATGCTAACTAGCTTAAGAACCCAGTAGGAGTTATTAGAAATTATAGTAGTATATTTCAAAAGCTCCTGGACCAGAGAGATTCTGAGTAGGCGGTTCTGAATCCTGAAGGGACACACAATTAGCTCGATCGCTGCCATTAGGCTCTGCTGGTAGGCTCGTCAACTGCTATGACGTCTATCCGAGCCAGAGCTTTAGCTTCGGTCTATGTCACCGAGCCTCCTCGGCTCAAACCTGGTTCTTGCATCCCCGAACCAGCAAGAAACGCAGTGCAGCGCACTACCGCATTCCACGTGGCAATTCCACGTCGGATCGCCTATCAGTCGGCTACTGGTAGTAACAACATTCGCAACTCATCCGGTCTACAGCTGGCAGCTGCTGATTGGCTACTAAGGGACTGCGCGGATTGTCTTATGCTGAGACAATCACGTGACGATTTGGACGGCACGGCAGTCCCACGAGCAGTGGCAGGAGTAGCAGAATCGGACCGAGGTGTTCGTGTGGGAGATAAAGATGCTGGCTCTAGATTTTCAGGCTTTCCTGGTCGTGCCGTGATTCGCGCTGCTGATTCATCATCATTCCGCAGGTACTGAGGGAGAGAGGAGAGAGAGAGAGAGAGGAGAGAGAGAGAGAGAGAGAGAGAGAGAGAGAGAGAGAGAGAGAGAGAGAGAGAGAGAGAGAGAGAGAGAGAGAGAGAGAGAGAGAGAGAGAGAGAGAGAGAGGAGAGAGAGAGAGAGAGAGAGAGAGAGAGAGAGAGAGAGAGAGAGAGAGAGAGAGAGAGAGAGAGAGAGAGAGAGAGAGAGAGAGAGAGAGAGAGAGAGAGAGAGAGAGAGAGAGAGAGAGAGAGAGAGAGAGAGAGAGAGAGAGAGAGAAAAGAGAGAGGAGAGAGAGAGAGAGAGAGAGAGAGAGAGAGAGAGAGAGAGAGAGAGAGAGAGAGAGAGAGAGAGAGAGAGAGAGAGAGAGAGAGAGAGAGAGAGAGAGAGAGAGAGAGAGAGAGAGAGAGAGAGAGAGAGAGAGAGAGAGAGAGAGAGAGAGAGAGAGAGAGAGAGAGAGAGAGAGAGAGAGAGAGAGAGAGAGAGAGAGAGAGAGAGAGAGAGAGAGAGAGAGGAGAGAGAGAGAGAGAGAGAGAGAGAGAGAGAGAGAGAGAGAGAGAGAGGAGAGAGAGAGAGAGAGAGAGAGAGAGAGAGAGAGAGAGAGAGAGAGAGAGAGAGAGAGAGAGATGACTTTGAATTGTTAATCGTTTGATCCCTGATTTATTTTCAGCAGTGCATGTGCTTCCTTCCAAATTCCTTGCAATATCAATGCACGAAGCTTCTGGTATGATTCCTTATGCTCTGACGTGCCTGCCACGTGGACGTTCTCTCAGGTCCCAGCGGCCGTGGCGCGCAAGGCCACGTCACTATCGGAACCGCGTTTCTCGGCAGTGCATTCCCAACTCAAGAGATAGCCCGCCGCGCAGAGGTGAGTGTTACATTGTGATCAATGCGGCAAAGTTACTAGCTGACGTGGCCTTACATGGCGTTGCCACGTCGGTATGAGAGCAAGAATAAAGGGTATGAATGGACCAACATATGAACCGTGTCCCAGGAGTGTCAGGCGAACATGGTAATCTTCCCCCTCACGTTGATCAAACAAACGGACGGCTGAGATGTCAACTCAGTTCTTGAGTTATGTGCTATGCTATTTGTTCATCTGGTGTGATGAATGTCGGTGCTTGGTCCTCATACCCACATCCCTCCTCCCCTCCCCATCTACAAGTCTTTCCTCTCGTGCTCATGCTCCCCCTTCATCCCCATGCCATTCCCTTCTCCCCTCTACCCTCTTTCCCCTCCCTGCCTTTCCCTCCTTTCCACTCACGGGCATAGCGAGAGAGGAGGAGTGGAACGAGGTGACTTCTGAGTCAACTCAAAAGAATGCTCCTACCTCCTCGCCCCTCGTTCCGCTCGCCCCTCCATCCCTCCCCAACTTCCCCCCTTTCAAGACACGGGCATAGCGAGCGAGGAGGAGTGGAACATCAGCCTACAGAACGCGCCTCTTAACGAGTCGGGCCTTAACGAGGACGGCAGCTCGTGGTATCGGGAGAGCGGGGAGGACGTGGGGGAGAACGGGTACCGGTGCCGGTGGAGCATCATGGGCGGGAGGAGTTCGGACGGATCCGTGCAATGGAAGGAAACGGTGAGTGGGGGGGCGATGAGGGGGGGGGCAGGGGAAACGGGAAGATGGAGGGAGACAAAGGGAGGACGTGGGCGAGAACGGGTACCGGTGCCGGTGGAGCATCATGGGAGCAAGGAGCTCTGACGGATCCGTGCAATGGAAGGAAACGGTGAGTGGACGAAGATGAGGGGATGAAATTGAGGGGGGTGTGGGTGGGGAGATAAAGGGAGGACGCGGGCGACAACGGGTACCGGTGCCGGTGGAGCATTATGGGGGGGAGGAGTTCGGACGGATCTGTGCAATGGAAGGAAACGGTGAGTAAGCTAAAGGAAGTGAACAGGCGGAGAAAATGAGCTATGTAAGGAAATGATTACAAGTGCAGCTAAATCTTTATGAAAGGAAGTAAGCAGGATAGCTTCGTGAAGCTCTTCCTTTGCTGTGTGCTTTATGGTTGCTAGTTCTCTGTCGTTTTCTGTTGTTGTTTTGTTTCACTCGTAGTCAATAATGCACGCGAGCGGTTGTTGCATGACGGGCTGTGATTCAAGGCAAGGTGTTTGTTCAGGCGCCTCAGAAAAGGGAGTGTGAATGATGAGACGTCTCAAAGGGGGCCTTCATGTGCCTTTTGAATCATGGGCCTTTGCTTGGTCCTGCCTTCCCTTCATCTCTCCATTCCCTTCTTCCCTTGTTGCGCTCTTGTGTGGTGTTGCCTTGCCATGGGCATAACATGGCAGTGGTGGGAGAAGAGCGATTGGACAGGATACAAAGAGCTAGGTACGCATGTCCATCACATCACAGCATGTCCATCACATCACAGCATGTCCATCACATCACAGCATGTCCATCACATCACAGCATGTCCATCACATCACAGCATGTCCATCACATCACAGCATGTCCATCACATCACAGCATATGCGAGGCGAGGCATGAGTGAGAGAAGGCCGCCGCGAGAGTCGAGACGAGGCATAAGGGAAGGGGCATGAAAGAAGAGACGTGAGGGAAGAGGCGTAGTAAGAGGTATTGACTTCTTTATTTGCAACGACACAAGGAGGGATTACATCAGTGTGTACATGAGCGGAAAGGATACCATACCAGATCCTCTCCCTCCCTTCCCCCTTAGGAGAGATTCTCGAAATCGTATCCCCTTTCCCTCGTCGTTCCCTCCCCCTTCCCTTCCCCTTCCTTTCCCCTTCCCTTTCCCCTCCCTTCCCCAATTCCCCCTTCAGGCGCGGAGAAGAGTGGGCGGAACGCTGTGGGCGCGAGCTGGTGGGAGACGTGGCAGGAGGTGCTGAGGAGGGATGAATGGAGGTGAGTGAGGGTGTGAGGGTGGGAGTGAGTGAGAGTGTGGGGGAATGCCAGGCCCTAGAGATGGTGGGAGACGTGGCAGGAGGTGTTGAGGAGGGACGATTGGAGGTGAGAAAGAGAGGACGGGGAGGGGGGGTGACGGACTGCCAGGGAACGAGGGACTAGAGCTGGTGGGAGAAGTGGCAGGAGTTGCTGAGGAGGGACGAGAGGAGGTGAGGAGGGAGAGAGGGGGGGGGGATTGGTGAGTGAAGGACTAATCGAGGGAGTAGTGAGTGAATGAGGGAATGAATGAGGAAATGAATGAGGGAATGAATGAGGGAATGAACGAGGAAATGAATGAGGGTTTTGTGTCCGTGACTAGAGCTGGTGGGGAAGAAGTGGTGGGAGGTGTTGGGGAGGTGCGAGTGGATGTGAGGGGGGTAGAAGTGGGGGGAAGGGTGAGGGATTGAGGGATTGAAAGGGGAAGGGAATGAGGGAATGAGGGAGTGCTATGGACTATAGCTAATGGGAGACGTGGCAGGAGGTGCTGAGAAGGGACGAGAGGAGGTAAGGAGGAGGGGGGTGAGCAGCATCGCTCGCATTGAGTGCAGTGCACACAAGCAGAACATGTCCTGTGTGTACGCCTCCCTCATATGCTTTCGGCTCTCCCCGGCCCCTCTCCCCTCCTCCCCCTTCCTCCTGCAGCGGCATTTCTCTCACAGAGCGAAGTACGCACAAGCAGGCCAAGTGTTGTGTATTCGCCTCAGACTGAATCTGTCTTCTGAAAATTCCCAAAAACACAGATTCAACTCTCGCATAGAGCGCAGCGCGCACAAGCAGGCCAAGTGTTGTGTGCGCCTCAGACCCTTTTGAGTCGACTCAAAATGTGCGCCTCAGACCCTTTTCCACCTTCTCGCCTTTCTATCCCCCCACCCCCCCTTTTTCAGTGGCATCGCTCGCATCGAGCGCAGTGCACATAAGCAGCCCAAGTGGTGAGTGGGTGGGTGCTTCTCTTACACTCGCCTCACTCCCCTCTCTGCCTCCCCTTCCCCACACCCTCCCCCCCACCTCCCCCTTTTCAGTGGCATCGCTCGCATAGAGCGCAGTGCACATAAGCAGGCCAAGTCGCGAACTGATGCCTGGACCGAGAAGTGGTGCGTGTGTGTGGGTGCTTGCGAATGGGTGCTTATATAGGGGTGTGACTGGGAAGATGAGATGATGGGGAGTGCACATGAGCAGGCTAAATCGCGAACTGATGCCTGGATGGAGAAATGGTGCGTATGTAAGGGTGCTTATGTAGGGGTGTGATTGGGGAGGTGATGGGGAGTGCGTACAAGCAGGCCAAGTACCACATAAGTACAAACTCTCTTTGAGTCGTCCCAGAATGTATTCTTTTAGTGGGACGTCTCAGAGCAGTTGAGAGAGTGTGGTGAGAATGCAAAGTGATGTGACAGTGTGTGAGATTGCGATAGGATTGCAGTGGGAATGTGGTGGAGTGCGTTGAGAGTGGCGGAGTGCCGTTAAAGTATGGTGGAGTGCGGTGGAGTGCGATGACAGTGCGGTGAGAGTTCGATGGAGTGCAGTGAAGTGTGGTGCAAGTGTGGTGAGAGTGTGGTGCGAGTGGGCACAAGCAGAGCCAATTCCCAAACAGATGCATGGGCCGAGATATGGTGAGTTGTGGCTTATGGTAAGGGGTATTTTTCAGACATCTCAACAAATTACTGAAACGTCTCAAAACTTCCAAACAGACGTCCGAAGTGTTTTGACATGCATCTTGTTTTGAGACGTCTCAAAACTAGACGTCCGAAGTGTTTAGACATGCATCTTGCCCACTAGCTGGAGGCTTTGGCCAGTTTAGATGTTTTCCCTTCTTTACCTCCCCCATCCCTCCCCCTTCCTCCCCCGCATCTACTGTCCCCGTCTCCTCCGCAGGTGGGAGAATTACAACGAGTGGGGGTGGACGGAGAAGGGGGGGTGCACCTAAAGCCTTCCTCTGTTCCCCCTCATCTATGGCCCCTTCGATCTTTCCCTTTCCATTCTCTCCCCCCTATCGCAGGTGGGAGAAGTACAACGAGCGTGAGTGGACGGAGAAGGGGGGGTGCACCCTAAACCCCACACCCTGAACCCCTGCCCTCTTGGCCCTTCCCTCTTCCACCTCCTCACCCACCCCCAATCGCAGGTGGGAGAAGTACAACGAGCGTGGGTGGACGGAAAAAGGCGCGTATAAGTTTGGGCGGCACGAGGGGCAGTCGTGGTGGGAGAAGTGGGGCGAGCAATACGACGGGCGAGGAGCAGTGCTTAAATGGTAGGTGGCTCATACGGTAAATGGGGTCTGTATATTGGGGGATTAGTGCGTAGAGGCACGAGGGGCAGCAGTGGTGGGAGAATTGGGGCGAGCAGTATGACGGTAGGGGAGCAGTCCTCAAGTGTGGTGGCTCGTATTGTATATGGGGTATGCATGCACGCATGTTGGGATGGGAGGGCAGCAGCATGAGGGGCAGTCGTGGTGGGAGAGGTGGGGCGAGCAGTACGACGGGCGGGGAGCAGTACTCAAGTGGTGAGATGCTTGTATGGTATGGGTGCCTTCTGTGATTTATTTTTTTGTATTAGTCTCATTATTATTATTCTTTGCTGATATACATGTGGTTAATATCTCTATATAAATATGGCTTGGCATGGCATGGCATAATGGCAGGACGGACAAGTGGGCGGAGCAGGACGACGACGGCAGCAAGTGGGGCGACAAATGGGAGGAGCGATTCACCAATGGGGTGGGCAGGAGACAAGGGGAAACGTGGCACCTGTCGCCCTCTTCCTCCCGTGAGTCAACTCTCACTTTCTCATAAGCCCCCCTCTCCCCCATAAGTGGGCGGAGCAGGACGATGATGGCAGCAAGTGGGGCGACAAGTGGGAGGAGCGATTCACCAATGGGGTGGGCAGGAGACAAGTGGAAACGTGGCACCTGTTGCCCTCTTCCTCCCGTGAGTTGACTCCTCTCTCTGCGGCTGGTAATAAGTATCTTGCTGCCTCACTTCCTGTGCGTGCTGCTTGTGAGAAGAAAGTGGGGCGATACTGGGAGGAACGTTTTTCGCCCACCTATCCCCATCCCCATCCCCATCCCCATCTCGATCCACACTCACACTCCACCTCCCCTCGTGCGCCTCCCTCCCACCAGGGTGGTCGAGAACGTGGGGAGAGGAGCACTACAGGGTAGGGATGTGTAAGAGAAGCACCAAGTATAAACTATCCTCATGCGTGCCCTACCTGCCCCTTCTACGCTTCCTTGTTTATCTCCGTCCTACCAGGCTGGTCGAGAACGTGGGGAGAGGAGCACTACGGTGACGGGTAAGTGTTTCGCTTAAGGGTGGTACCACTTTGCTAAAACCACAAAAATAATTTGCACAGGGCATCTTTCACTTACGGCGGGTATTTTCCCCTGACTTTTTTATGCTGACCGGCGAGTATCTTTCACTTACAAAAGGCGAGTATTTACAAGCCTTTTGAACGAATCTCACGATAATAAACTTCTTGGTCTTCAAGAGCCCTATTTGTGACTTAAAGGAGTTGTGTCGGGCCCTTCGCCTCTCTCTTTCCTCGCATCTCTCTCATCTCCCTTCATCTTAGTCCCTCTCCCCCTCGCAATTTGATGGTATGGCAACAAGGAGCACACCAAACTGACGAGGGTGCGACTCTACCTCACCTCTCCTCCCCTCTCCTTGCAACCTTTCTCTCTTCCCCATACCAGCAAGGTGCACAAGTATGGGAGGAGCACGAGCGGGGAGGTGTGGGACGTGGTGGTTGAAGAGCCTACATATTACGAGTGAGTGGTGAAAGGGACAGGGCACTCCTCCTTTCAACCACTGCTCTCATTCAGGGCATGTGCTTCATTTCAAACTTCATCGTGTGACTCATGTTGCAAGAGCACGAGCGGCGAGGTGTGGGACGTGGTGGTGGAAGAGCCTACATATTACGGGTGAGAGGTGAAAGGGACAGGGTAGAGACATGTGTGTCAGGAGGGAGTTATGTGCTATGAGTGAGTGGCTCTTGGTGCGAGAGCACGAGCAGGCAGGTGTGGGACGTGGTGAGTGGAAGAAGCTACATATTATGAGTGAGTGAAATCCTTTTGAGTCGATAGGACAGGGTTGACAGAGACTTGTGTGGGGAGTTCGCATTTCAGAAGGCGTGGCATAGGTACGTAGTATGAGTAAGTGGAATCGTATGAGAGGATGGGACAGGATAGAGAGACTTGTGTGGGGGGGGGCTCGTCTCACAAGGCGTACTGGTGGAACACTGGTCGCACCACTGGTTGGTGTGCACCACTGGTTGGTGTGCGCCACTGGTTGGTGTGCACCACTGGTTGGTGTGCGCCACTGGTTGGTGTGCACCACTGGTTGGTGTGCGCCACTGGTTGGTGTGCACCACTGGTTGGTGTGCGCCACTGGTTGGTGTGCGCCACTGGTTGGTGTGCGCCACTGGTTGGTGTGCGCCACTGGTTGGTGTGCACCACTGTTTGGTGTGCACCACTGGTTGGTGTGCGCCACTGGTTGGTGTGCACCACTGGTTGGTGTGCGCCACTGGTTGGTGTGCGCCACTGGTTGGTGTGCGCCACTGGTTGGTGTGCGCCACTGGTTGGTGTGCGCCACTGGTTGGTGTGCGCCACTGGTTGGTGTGCGCCACTGGTCGGTGTGCGCCACTGGTTGGTGTGCACCACTTGCATTATGAGTGTGTTCCTTTGCTCGCACCACTGGTTGTGCTCCTTGCTGCCATACGTCTCAACTAAGAGGTACGTGAATGTCAGTGTGTCACATCTTCTTGTCACCTCTGCCTTGTACCTTTGTGTATAACCTCAGGGGCATGCCTCACTACGGCTGGGCAGAGGCAACTGCCAACTCGCTGCAGCTGCTAGCGATAGAACCCATGGAGAGAGGAGGAGAGGCGTGAGGGGGAATGGAGTCTGGAGGAGGGAAGGGTGACGGTGGAACGGGGCACCCCTCACTAGTACGGCTGGGCAGAGGCAACTGCCAACTCGCTGCAGCTGCTGGCGATAGAACCCATGGAGAGACGAGGGGAGGCGTGAGGGGGAGCGGAGTGAGGGGGGGGGGAAAGGGAACGGCGGAAAGGGGCATGCCTCACTATGGCTGGGCAGAGGCAACTGCCAACTCGCTGCAGCTGCTTGCAATAGAACCCATGGAGAGAGAGGCGTGAGGGGGAGAAGGGAGGAACAGTGGAGAGAGGAGGGGAACAACAGAGAGGGACTCGCCCCCACTTGCTTACTCGCTGCAGCTGTGGCGATCAAACCTATGGAGAGAGGAGGAGAGGAGTGAGGGGAAGGGGAGGAGCAGCGTGAGAGGGAGAGGAGAGGAGAGAGGCGGAGGGAAGGGGGGTGGCGTAAGCGACACACCTTATTAGTACGGCTGGGCAGAGGCAACTGCCAACTCGCTGCAGCTGCTGGTGATAGAACCTATGGAGAGAGGAGGAGAGGCTCAAAGCGGAGGAGAGAGGAAGGGTCGAGGGAGGAGGGAAATGCAAGAGAACAGGGTTTTTTGGGTTGCGAAGCAACCTATTACAATCGTTATGTACAATTTTTTTTTTCAATCTTCAATACCTTTAAAAAATAGAGGGAAAAAATCTAGTGAACGGTACTAGCTAAATGACTGACTGCTATGTATCTGCCGCGTCAATTTACCACGTGCTGAACCACATTCTTTCTCATTTCCTAGTTTACTTTGACTGAACCTATATTTCATGAGTTGCCAAAATGATGTACTGTGAATGCATAACTGTTTATTCCGTGATGCATATGTCTGCTGTTGTTATAAGTAGATGAAGTAAATGCAAATGCATAAGTATAATGCATATACGGTACTACCGGTACCGTAATGAAATAAATGCACAGCATGATGGAAGTGCGTAACAGTTAATTGACGCAGACCCTATGCTACCGCATCCCCTGCCTAGCATGGGGGGGAGCTCAATAGCATAATTTCTGAATCATCCAACTGTTACATGAAACAACACAATCTGTGTGATATAAAAAACAGGTCAATTCCATCAAATCCAGTTCGAATGGACACACTCACTGAGTGCGCAAAGAACCTTCTCGGAAATGATAGTTTGATCCCAATTTTTAAACCCCACAGACATGTGTTATCAATGCAATGGAAACATGAATGAAAACGCATACGCACACAACACAACGCATACACATGATCATACACATTCACACGGACACGCACGCACGAAGCCAACTGACAAAGCATATTAACCGCATATGAAATAGAAACCTAAATCACCAAGACATTATGTATCCTATACTGTAAGTCACAAGCAATATCAGTCTACTTCTCATATTGAGCTCGACTGCCTGAAAAGTAAGACAAAGCTGGGTTGAGGAAGGGAAGGCAAATGGGAAATAACAAGGCATAATGAAATTACAAGAAAAAGGAATAATGAAGAAACAAATGAAACAATACAAGGGCCAAGAAAAACGCCATGAGCATTGAAGGGTTAGAGCTGACAAATAACAAGGAGAAAATGTACTAAGGCATAAAACGAAAGTAAAGAACGAGAACAAAGGGAAAAACACATGACCAGACAGTAAACGAACGAAGAGAATATAACAAATACGTTGAGCGAGAACAACGGAGACCGAGAGCGAGAGCGAGAGCGAGAGAGAGAGAGAGAGAGAGAGAGAGAGAGAGAGAGAGAGAGAGAGAGAGAGAGAGAGAGAGAGAGAGAGAGAGAGAGAGAGAGAGAGAGAGAGAGGACGAGAGAGCGAGAACGAGAGAGTGGACGAACGAGAGAGAACGAACGAGAGATTTGACAAAAGAGAACGAGAGAACGACAGAGACGGAACGAGAGAGAGAGAGAGAGAGAGAGAGAGAGAGAGAGAGAGAGAGAGAGAGAGAGAGAGAGAGAGAGAGAGAGAGAGAGAGAGAACGAGAGAGAGAACGAGAGAGAGAACGAGAGAGAGGGAACAAGAGAGAGGGAGAACAAAAGAGAGAGAGAGAGAGAGAGAGAGAGAGAGAGAGAGAGAGAGAGAGAGAGAGAGAGAGAGAGAGAGAGAGAGAGAGAAAGAAAGAGAGAGAGAGAGAACGAGAGAGAGAGAGAGAGAGAGAGAGAGAGAGAGAGAGAGAGAGAGAGAGAGAGAGAGAGAGAGAACGAGAGAGAAAGAAAACGAGAGAGAACGAGAAAGAGAACGAGAGAGAGAACGAGAGAGAGAAAACGGGAGAGAGAGAACGGGAGAGAGAGAACGGGAGAGAGAGAACGGGAGAGAGAGAACGGGAGAGAGAGAACGAGCGAGAGAGAACGGGAGAGAGAATGGGAGAGAGAGAACGAGCGAGAGAGAACGGGAGAGAGAGAACGGGAGAGAGAGAACGGGAGAGAGAGAACGGGAGAGAGAGAACGAGCGAGAGAGAACGAAATGGACTGAACATGCAACCTATTACAATCTTTATGTACAACCTAAGACGAGGTTGAGAAAAAAATGAACTAAAACATGCAAATATGAAGAAAAGGCAACCGACGAGAGGAAAAGTTTAAGGATGAAGAATAGAAGAAACAGATGCAAGCTTATGCAGGAAGGAGAACCTGAAATCTTTACAAAGGGCCGAGAACCTAAGTTTAAACAACTAAGTCTCGCTAATACTCATCCATTTACACGGCTAGGATACGGAATGACTAAATGTTAGTCTATCTAATAGGCATCTAATTTAGTTGGAGTTAAAGTTGAGGGATCTTCTTACCTAAGTTGCAGTTAGAGTAGGTGGAGAAGTTGGTAGAGCGTGACGAGCGAGGAAAAGCGGGAGAAAAAAAGGGCCGGTAAACCCTAAGGTAGTCTCAGATTCGTCGCATGTTTTTATTTTTGACTTATTTAGCTGTTCTAGGTAAACATCTGTGCTGTAGCAGTGGTACAAGGCTTGGAGTGGAATCGAAAGGTCCTTGGTTCGAATCTTGTTCGCGCTGTACATTTAACCTTTTCCTGGTGAGAGGAAGTACCACTTAGTGTCATATTACAGCATTATGTACAGAATTAGAAGTTGTACAAATTTATATAATTACGCAAAACGCTTCGCAACCCTAAGACGAATTTGTCGCCTCTTGTTTTTCTCTCCCGTGTAGTGCTCCCAGTGGGAATGGATAGGTGCGCCTCTGCTGCTGCTGTTGGCGATATAAGGCATGAAAAGAGGAGAAGAGGTATGAGAGAGATGGGAGAGGAAAGGTGGAAGGCAGAGGGAGGGGGCAAATGCCAGGGGGCATAACCATAATTTTTGGCTCCCTCCCTTGTAGCGCTCCCTAGTGGGACTAGATTGGTGTTCTGCAGCTGCTGCTGTTGATAGCGGGTTCGATTCCCTGCGTTTTATTGCTCCCTGTGGGACTAGATCGGTGCACCTCTGCTGCTGTTGGCGATAGAGGCCATGGAACGAGGAGATGCGTACGAGAGAGGGGAAGGGAAAGAGAGAGACGGAGGAGGAGAATGTTGGAGAGAGGGGCGAAATGTTGGAGAGAGGGGCGAAATGTTGGAGAGGGGCGAAATGTTGGAGAAAGAGAAGTGCTGGAGAGAGGGAAGGAAACGAGGGCTTGATGAGGGAAAACACAGTGGGAAGAAACCCAGTCTTGCTCCCTCCGATTGCTCAGACGGATTAGATTGGTGGCCTGCTGCAGCTGATGCTGATAATAGGCTTCCACGTCAAGAAAAGAGGGAGAGAGGAACTGTGGAAGAAAAAGGGAGGTGAAATAAGAGGGTTCTGTGACGGAAGGGAAAATCCACAGTAAGAGCAACGAGGTGCGAGGGGGTGGATAGAAAAGGTATGCAGACTTCATTTCATACCGGAAATTGGAGAGTATCTGAAGCCTGACAAGTCAACAGGTTCAAGAGAGTCAACGAGGCTCCTCTCTTGATGCAGTCAGCCTCCGTTTGAACAAGTCTCTCCTTTTCCTCTTCCTCCAGCCCAGTTGCCTTCAGTGGGATTTAATTAGAGGCCCTCGCTTTGGTGTATGAGGGTGTCAAGTGTTGATATTTGTGATAGGCTGTAGTGAGGTGCTCCTTAGTGAGTACAACTCAGTTAGGGTTTGCTATTTGTATCACCGACATTCCTAATCTCATCATTCCGTTGCATTCTATTTCTGAGATGGTATCACGAGTAGGTTTAAAATCCTTGCCTAGCCTAGCCTAGCTCGCGCCCTCGAGCCCTCCGCGCCCTACCGCACCTCCGCGCCTTACGCGCCCTCCGTCACGCGCCCTAGCGCGCCTCCGCGCCCTAGCGCCCTCCGCGCCTTACGCGCCCTCCGTCACGCGCCCTAGCGCCCTCCGCGCCCTCCCTAACGTGCCCTCCGAGCCCTCCGTAACGCGCCCTCCGCGCCTCCGCGCCTAACCCTCCCCTACGCGCCCTCCGTATCGCGCCTCCGCCCCAGCCCGTGCGTCCTACCCTAGCCCGTCGCGTAGCCCGTGCGCCGTGCCCCAGCCCGTCGCGTGGCCCGTGGCCCCGGCCCCAGCCCGTCGCGTCGCCCGTACGCCCTGCCCTAACCCGTCGCGTAGCCCGTGCGCCCTGCCCTAGCCTGTCGCGTAGCCCGTGCGCCCTGCCCCTAGCCCGTGCGCGCCCGTGCGCCCTGCCCCTAGCCCGCGCATCGCCCTGCCCCTAGGCTGCGCGCCCCCGCAGGTATCGTGCCCCGCAAGTAGTGCGCCCCGCGGGTAGCGCGCCCCGCAGGCAGCGCACCGCGCGGGTAGTGCGCCCCGGGGGTAGCGCGCTCCGCAGGCAGTGCGCCCCGCGGGTAGCGCGCCCCGCAGGCAGCACACCCTGCAGGCAGCGCGCCCCGTAGCGCTTTAGCGTCAGAAAATAATTAAATTAATTAAACCCTTAAAAAAAAGGGGGGGGGGGGGGGCGGGGGGGGTTCAGGGTGTTGGGATGCAACTATCGCCCGCGTTCCTGCTTGTCGGACGACCTGCACAGCTCCCTACATATCGCAACAGTCAGTACTGCAGCCCCTACAGTCGCACGTACTTTCCACTGCCAGTGGCTCTACTAGCGGCAGCCGATAGCCAAAATTACAGTCTCTAGCTCTAGCCGTTCTAGCTCCAGCCACTCCTAGCTCCAGCCGTGTCTAGCTCCAGCCGTTCTCGCTCCAGCCATTCTGGCTCCAACCGTTTCAGCTCCAACCGTTCTAGCTCCAGTCGTTTTCGCTCGTCGCTCCTAGCTCAGATTGCTCCGTGCTACAGTCGTTCCTCGCCTAGTTTCACCTGGCGCTCCTAGTTGTTCTCGTTGTTTCACTGCAGCCGTCCCTCTCAGAATCCCAGCCACTAGAGCACTGGGATAAAAGGGCTTGTTTAAGTAGCGGGTCGGTGCGCCCATAACCCCCCAGGCAACCGTGCCTGTAACCCTTCCCCTAGGATCAATCGGGGATCACCAGTTGACCTCTGACACCCCGCCTCACTGGGATGCCCGAAGTGCACACACCGGGATTTGAACCCGAGACCTTCGCTCTGGATACCATCTCAGAATCCCAGCCACTAGACCACTGGAATAAAAGGGCTTGTTTAAGTAGCGGGTCAGTGCGCCCATAACCCCCCAGGCAACCGTGCCTGTAACCCTTCCTCAATTTCGCTCAGGCATTCTTGTCGGATTCTGCGGCGAGCAGGGCATCGTACAATCCTGGACTCTTCCTGAGTCCCCACAGGAGAATGGGGTTGCTGAGCGCCGCATTGGCTTGGTCATGGACATCGCCCGCACGTCCATGATTCATGCCCATGCGCCCCATTTTCTATGGCCCTACGCGGTTCGCTACGCCGCTCACCAGCTGAACCTCCAGCCGCGCGTCTCGCGGCCAGAGGCTTCACCGACCAGTCTTTGGACCGGGTCCCCTGGTGTTGGGTCAGGTTTTCGTGTCTGGGGCTGCCTTGCGCTTGTCCGCGACACCTCTGCGGACAAACTCTGGGCTCGCGCCGTCCTCTGTGTCTTCCTTGGTTTCCCGGTAGCCTCGGCCGACTGGTCCTTTTACCACCCGCCCCTCCATCAATTCCTAGACTCCCGTGACGTCCGGTTCGACGAGTCAGTGTCCTACTACACCCGCTACCCCTGTCGAGGTCTCCCGGTTCCCCCTCCCCCCCTTTTCCTCGCAACCTCTCTTCCCCCTGCTCCCGCTCCTCCGGTACCCCCACCCCCCCCTGGTCCTGCCCCATCAGGTGTGTCTCACGCTATCCCTCTACCCTCGGTCGCGCGTTAGGTAGCGTCTCCCTCCCCGCAGTCCTCCTCATAGTCCTCTCAGCAGCCTTCGGTATTTCCACGACATGTTACTGTGGACTCGGTTGGTGTTGGAGCTGGAGGTGCAGCCACTGGCGGTACTCGGTCTGGGGGTGCTTGTTCGAGGGGTGCTGGAGTTGGAGGTGCTGGCGCAGGTGGCGCTAGCCCTAGGGGTGCTGGAGCTGGAGGTCCTGGCACTGGAGGTGCTAGTTCTGGGGGTGCTGGAGCTGGAGGTGCTGGCACTGGAGGTGCTAGTGCTGGGGGTGCTGGAGCTAGAGGTGCTGGCAAGGGAGGTGCTAGTTCTGGGGGTGCTGGAGTTGGAGGTCCTGGCACTGGGGGTGCTAGGACAGGGGGCACTGGAGCTGGGGACCCTGACCCTCTTGGTACCCCTTCTGGGGACACTGGTACTTGGGGTGCTATTTCTGAAGAGACTGGAGTTGGGGGCACTACGTTTGCAGAGAGCACTCCGCCTCCCCACTGCCACGACACGCGTTACCAGGCGGCGTGCCAACGTGCGCGCGAGGAGCAAGAGCAGTTGGAGCGGGAGCGGCAGGATTTGCGGTAGTTGGACCTGTTGGAGCAGCAGCAGCAGCTCCCTCTGAAGCGGTAGTTGTTCCCGCCCGTGAGTGGCCTTCGGGCCCTTGGTCTTCCCTCCTCTCCTCCTCTTTGCTCTCAGTCTCCCACTGCGTTTGGTCCCACGTTTCCTCCTCTTGACGACCGTCCGGCGGTCTGGTCTTCCCCTCCACCGCAGTCTCCTCCTCCTGTTGTCCGTCACTACCGTTCCCGTCTTTGTCCTCCGGGTGCTCGTCCCTCGTCCCCCATTATCGACCTCCACACTGCCCTCCTTTGTACTTCTCTTCGTCGTTCTCCTCCTTTGGTGTCTGTTCTACCGTCTCCTCCTCCGTCTTCTCTTCCAGTCCCCCCTACTCCTATCCCCGACTACTACCGTGATGTTCGCCCTGTTGTCTCCCGCGTTCTAGCCACTGTTGTCACCGACCCTCGTTTCTCTCCGTCGTCTGTCTCGGCTCTCACTGCCGCTGTCGCTGACTTTGCCGCCGCCATCCGCCTTGACTACCGCACTTGTATGGTGCTCGCTCTGCCTACCCATCCTCTGTCCGTCGGGGGTGAGTTTGTCATTGGCTGTGATGTCCTAGAGGACAGGCACTCTGAGCTGGAGTACCTGGCAGCCGCTTCTCCCA